CCATGGCATGGGATCCTATCAGGAGGAAGCCCATGGCATGGGATCCTATCAGGAGGAAGCCCATGGCATGGGATCCTATCAGGAGGAAGCCCATGCATGGGATCCTATCAGGAGGAAGTCCATGGCATGGGAGCCTATCAGGAGGAAGCCCATGGCAGGGGGAGCCTATCAGGAGGAAGCCCACAGCATGCGCATTATTCTTTCCTTTCAGAGCATCTGTTCCTGGGGCCTTCAGAGGGTCCTCCCTGGAATGCCAGCCTGCCAAGAGTCATTCGCATTGGACTATTCCTTCCCATAGCCTGAGGACGACAAATGAGCTCTTCTCGCTCACTGAGACTGCCAGGATAGCACATGGACACATGCTGAAGGTGGGAGTTTAAAATAGAAAAAAGGGAAAAAAGCCCAGAGCACACGCCGTTCCTCTGGCAGCATGAAGGTAACACCCAGGGCCACCCGGCAGTCCATGCCCAGGAAGGGTCATTCTGGCCTGTCGGCTTGTAGCCATAGGTGCGCCAGTGCCGGGGCTGTTAGCACAGCGACAGTCCACCTGCGTGTCGCACTCAAACAGCATCGCCCTTCACCCCCTCACTTTGCCTTATGTTAAATCGCTTATCTGAAATGTCCCTTGATGTTGAGGAAGCATCCATGCCCGGAGAAATGACTCGGGAGCGTGTGGGAGGCAGTGGGCTGGTATACCGCTGCCCCCGGGCCTCCTACCCAGCAGCCTCAGCCCTGGAGCTATAGGGTCACTGCCGGGACTGCCGGGACTGCCGGGCCTCGCGGGCAACAGCCTTGGCCCCGACCAGGGGTGCCTGAAGCCCAGCTGCTATCGTGGTGGCACTGGAGCCCAGGTTGGTGCCAACTGTTTTATTCCAGGCCAGCCTGGCGGCCACTGCCACAAAATTTAACAGGGCTGGTGACAAGCTCTGGGAAGCCCACTGGACGATCGCCTTCTTGGATAAGGAAAGGAAATACATTTCTTAGACCCAAGCAGGGTGGGAGCCCAGGCTCAACACTCACTTGAGTGGGTTCTGTTCTGTGCCACCTACCCTTTGAAAGACCCGTCACAGCGACAGTGTGGGGACAACAGAACCCTGGGTGTGAGGGGTGAGATTTCTCTTACAGCAAGAAAACTGTTGGCCCTCAGGGGGTTGCGACTTCCTTTAGGATAAAGGTCCCCTTGAGGGTGGACGGTGGGCGCTGGGGGCTGGCTGCTCACTTCCCAACCCACTCCAGGGGCTCTCAGGGCATGAGCTGACCCGATGAGACTGCTGGAGGCCCCCCAGCGTAACCGCAGGCAGCTGCTCCAGCAGTAGCATGAGACCAACCCCTACTCAGGGCGGCTTCCCTCAGAAACCAACCTGCAACATCAGAATGAGCATGAAAGGGAAACAGGACCATGTGATGGCACAGAGAACACTTTGCAGGGTGTTGGGCTGTGGGCTGAGTCCCCAAGTCACACTTCAAGGCGCAGCATTGGCAGGGTCTGAAAACCTGCATCCACTCATGACTATCGACAGTACTTCTTCCCCAGGCTTTCTGGGCCTCTGTGGACTGCCATGTGACCATGAGTTTCTCTGGCACAACAAATAGCTAATGATGAGAATTTGCTGTAGAAGGACAGTGGGGGTGCAGTCAGTAGGACAGATGGCCTCTTCCTACCTCCTGGACCCCTGCTAGGTTGGGAGTGACTGGGAGGCCCTGCTGTCAGGCCCAGCCTTTGGGCCTTAAATAAAACAACACATGTAGGAATTCCAGAGCCCAGGACAAGTCTCAGATGCCAACACAAAGAAAAGCCTCTAGAAGGCTGAGAGACAGATCCTGCCCAGGCACCACCTCCCCACGTTTGGTCTGGTGCAGCCACCCTCCGGGTTTGCCTGTGTGCTCTGCATGGACCCTGATTTCACTCCCTACTCAGCTCCACACGGTTTCTTGTTTCTCCTCTCACTCTGCACAGCCGAGCACTTTACACAGGAGGCTGTAACAGCCAGAGAAAATATACATCAAAGGGAGGGTGTCTGCAGGGACTAATTTCTGGGGTAAATGGGGGAAGGTCTGCAGGGCCCCACAAGGCCTCATTCCCAGGGCAGACTCGCCTCCAGCGTCAAACCAGTTTTCTATCTGCAACAGGATGCAGCACTGACCCCTTTAGCTTTTTTCCCCTTTTTTCCTTCCTTTTTTTTGAAGTAATTTTTAAAATAAAAACCTGGCTCAGAAAAATAGACAGGATTTAAGCCATTACTTTTCTTAAGGGAACAGGCTGTTTTGAGGATCTATTCCTCCAAAAAATGTTAATTCTAATTATTTATCCTAAGTATTTAAATAGTGGTTCTGTTATTCACAGAGCAATAGAGGCAACTGGCTGTGGTTTTATTTACACGCTGTCTAGAGGGCCGCACAGACAGCTCTGCTGTGTTCTCTACTTCAGTTTCTTTGTTTCTCCATATCTGTGTCTCTATTTTGTCTTGTGAGCCCTTAAAAAGGGCACAGATTGTGTATCTTAACTTTTCAGTTTACAGTCGAGATGCTGCACTGGACAGAATGCAGCTTGATTTATCTTCTGTAAATAAGAATATATAGTTCTGATTTTTCTTGAATGGATAATGTGTAGTGACTTTATAAACTCCAGGTTTGCAAGTTGAGGGAAAGTGTTTATGTTATTATTTTTTTTTTTAAATCTCTAGCTGAAATAAACTGATCATGAAAACATACCACATAATGGTGTTTAAAGCTAAACACATGACTCACTCCCACAGAGAGACAGAACTAAGACTATTCCTGTGATAACTTTCCTTTCTTCTTATCTCATTTTAGAATTTGCCCAAACTCTGAAATGCTAAGAAAACAACAAAGAGAATGACAACAATTGTCTCCAGACAGAAAGTGTAGACTATAGATAAATTATTGTTACTATCACTAAAATCTACAGATCAATTACATTGTTACTGTCACTAAAATCTACAGATCAATTACATTGTTACTACCATCACTACTATCCACAGATAAATTACATTGTTTCCTCCATCACTACTATTAGTAATCTAAGCAGCAGCAGCCCAGCAATGGGATAAAATTGTAATCAATAGTCACAAAACATCACACTCCCAAGTGAGAGGGAGACAAGCACATTAAGTTAAGCTACACGGACCAGACAGTTTTAATTCCCTGGAGCGATCTCGGATGTACTTAAAAGACTCAGCTGACAGGTTCTCTTCTCTCTACTGGTTTCTGTGAGGTCAGAAACTCTTTGGCAGAGCTCTGGTCTCCGGGGTACAACTGCAAGGCCCCAGAGGCTGCTGGTCCTATGCTGTCCCTGGACCCCCTCTCTGTAGAGCTCTTTGGGACCACTGTATTTTGCCTGACCCCAACTTTAGCATCAAGCCTCCTACTCTGCTCTGGTAGTTCCCTTACCCTCATACCGCTGCAGACACACTACCCAGAGACACTCACCACATTGCATGCATGTAAGTCGGGGGCAGCCGTGGACTGCTAACTGGAGTGCAATTGTATGACCTCATAATTCTTTCTGCCAGCAAAAAATTCCGAAAGAGACTAGCCACCAACAGGTCCTGTCTGAAGAGCTTTTGGAAAAGATCTGAGGGCAGATAAAGGGGAAAAAAGAGGCTTCAGTGACTCACGTCCAGCATTAAAAGCCAAATACACAAATTTACTTCTGTCAAAAAACATTACATACAAATTGGAACACACATGCTTCCCACTGTGCATAAACATATACACAAACATGTGCATATATGCAAACACATGTAAACACAGTGCCTGTATACACATAAACACACAGACACATGTACACATATAGACACACACGCACACACGTAAATATGCTTAACATGACCAGATACATACATACAAACACATATGTGCACACTCACACATGTACACATAAACATGAACAAAACCGACAATTAACAAAAAATACAAATAATTCTTATAATAGTAATGCTAGATTCAACAAACATCGTGAGTGCCAATGATTATCAAGAAAGATAACCCTGAACCTGCTGGGACAGAATTTGTTACCAGAACAAACACTGACATGGGCTTGCTCCGGAGCCTTGGCTGGCGCCCACTAACTCACTCATCTCCCCAGTGGCCGCTTGGCCTCGGCTTCTCCTCTCCACCCTCCCAGCATCCTCCTCACTAGAGAACTCACTGATCCCACTGGCCCCTCTGGAGCCCCAGGGTCACCATGCCCTGTGCCCAGCAGGCAGCTCACCCCGGGGGAGCACGTTCCACGCGATAGTGTCCGTGATGGCTGTAAAGATCCAGTTCAGCTCGCCCAAAGGAGTCCTCCTGTCATTCAGACGGCCAGGAATTCTGGAAAACACAGTGTTTTCATCAGAGATGCTGTGGCTATTAGAGCAGGTAATGGAGGGGCGGGGCAGGGGACAGAAAGGGGATGAACAGGCTCTGAGGGAGGCAGGAGGGAGGGTGGGTGCGTGTGGAGACAGATGCCTTCTCCCCACCTCTACAGATGCCCCCGACACACATAGCTCACCCAATGGGTTACACACCCAGTTCCTGTGGTTTCTGAGTCTGACCTGTGGGCCACTGGGACTCGGAGGACAGTCCTATGGCATGTGCCGTGAAGGAGTCTGGCCACTCCCACGACTCCACAGTTCAGCCTGCTCCATGGCTCCAACGCCGTACAAGTGCGCAGTCCATGAGAGAACGACAGGGCGACTACCATCCCACAAGGGCCCCTCAGCTCCCATTCATTCATCAAAGAGCTGAGTGCCCACAAGACAGCTAACCACCCTCCCCGGTTGTCCCTCCCTGGCCATCAGTGTCCGCCAGTGCTCTGCCCTCAGGAAGCTTTCCATCAAGCAGGAAGGACAGATGACAAGCAAGCAGGTACGTGGGTGACATGAAGGTGGCAGCAGGAGCTGTGAGGATGCTGCTGCTTCATAAGGGACAGCCTCACCGACAGACACGGGACGGGGGCCATGTGAGGTGGGTGTGCCATCCAGAGAAGGCACTTCCCCTGCAGTCTCATCAGCCCTGAGCACCAGTGTATACCTGGGGTGAAGCACGTCTCTGGGAGACACCACTGAGAAGAGCTGGGGGAGACCAGGGAGGACATGGAGCCTGACGCCCTGGCTTGTGTCTTAGCCACATCTGCAGGTGAGAAGCTCTAATGACACAGCAGAAGTGTGTCCCTTTCAGACTGTAAGACACCCCACCAGCAGGTGACGCCGGTCACAGGCCAAGGCTCTGCCTGGGATTAGAACACAGGGGCGGGTATGGGAGGAGTGAGGCTCCAGGCACCACTGTGGAAGCACCTTGTCACAGGGCATTTTTGGAGTCAGCCACGCTGTGTAGTTAGGGCTCAGTGCCCAGCTGCAAGGTGGGGGGTTCCCCAAACTACCCTCGCTCTCCATAGTGCATGGGTAGCACTTGCTGAAAGGTGTTATACTCATGGCTACAGCTCAGTACAGAGAGCAGACTCCATTTGATCAAGGGAAGAAGCACAGAGGACAGGGTCTAGGACATGTGTGCCAAAGTGCACGGAGCACTGCCCACCAGGGACGCTCCCCACACCTCCAAGGTGAGAGTTCCTGGGGCTCTGTCACATAGGCAGAACTGACTGCCATGTGGCAGGCCCCAACCTCCAGTTTGACACTGTGATGTTCCCCACCCTAAATCACATGGCTGTTCTTTCTTCTGTGGTAGCCCCATCCTGAGACAAGCAGACGTGGGCACCCTCACCACGGACACTTCTACCTGGCATGAGCCAGATGACCCTGCAGAAGCTGAGGGCAGAGCTAGACCTTCTCTTTGGGCAAGGCCAAATTGTAACACTAATATTAAGCTATTTATCACCAGACACACAGCTATTCCAGCCCAGAGCTCAGCCTTTAGATTTATACTGGTCCCGGGTGGGGCTGTGCATCTGCAGTGCACACACATGTCTTCCAGGGTGTCCACAATGGGCTGTAATTCGGAGCCCTCTGCACAGCAGACTTGTTCGTATGAAGAAAAACCCAAACACACCGAGAGCTGCTCACTGAGAGCAACCAGACAGCTGCTCTGGGACAGCCATACGGCCGTCCATGCAGTTACCCGTGAGCCTGAGCGGGCATGAGCTGCTGTGTGTAAAGGTCAGAAAACATATGAGGACTTCCAGAATCCACTGCCCCAAACCAGCATGTTGTAACAGGGAAACCACAGACACTGTGCTGTGTGAAGCAGCTGTTCTCACAACCCCAACAGTCAGAAACTGGTGAGTTCACTGGCGAGAAAGAGACGATTAGGTACACTGTGGAACAACCTCGGTGAGACCCTCAGGAGTTATTAGATTGTTGTTTATAAATACTTCAGTGACATGAGAAACTGCTTTCTTTATAACATTAAGCAGCAAAATAAGTATCATATGTTGTGATTACGTCAAGGAGAGCTGGTGAGAAGGGAGACCTCGAGATGCAGCAGAGTGATGCCGTCGGTCTTTGCGTCATCCTGCAGTCCACACACAGTCCACACACAGTATGTCCGGGTGCCCCTCCCGTCGGTCTTTGCGTCATCCTGCAGTCCACACACACTATGTCTGGGTGCCCCTCCCCGTCGGTCTTTGCGTCATCCTGCAGTCCACACACAGTCTACACACACTATGTCCGGGTGCCCCTCCCCGTCGGTCTTTGCGTCATCCTGCAGTCCACACACAGTCCACACACACTATGTCCGGGTGCTCCTCCCCGTCGGTCTTTGCGTCATCCTGCAGTCCACACACAGTCCACACACACTGTCCGGGTGCCCCTCCCCGTCGGTCTTTGCGTCATCCTGCAGTCCACACACAGTCCACACACACTGTCCGGGTGCCCCTCCCCGTCGGTCTGTGCGTCATCCTGCAGTCCACACACACTATGTCCGGGTGCCCCTCCCCGTCGGTCTTTGCGTCATCCTGCAGTCCACACACAGTCCACACACACTATGTCCGGGTGTCCCTCCCCGTCGGTCTTTGCGTCATCCTGCAGTCCACACACAGTCCACACACACTATGTCTGGGTGCCCCTCCCCAACAACGGGCCTACCAAGGTCTCCTGCCACGCTGCGGGGGCCAGCTGGTGGGTGGCAGGACAGCGTCTCCGGGGGGTGGTGCAGAGACCGTCGGAACCAAACGTGGGCTGCCCAGCCATACCGTTGGTAAACCTGACTAGACATGTTACAGGCGCAACCCAGGAGTCGAGGATCAAGTGGGGTGCGTACAAACTGAACAAACTGGAAAGCTCTTCCCAGCAGCGAGGAGCTGCCCATGGACTCCCAGCCCAGCACTCGCACTGACTGGTCATGGATGAAGATGAACAGAGGCCAGGCGGGCTCAGGCTATAACTAACTGTGTTCTTAAATGTTCTTTGCTCGTGACAATGCAAAGCTAGACCCCACCAGATCATCCCAGCAGTCTCTTCCTCAAGCTCGTCCTGAAGCAGAGAAAGCCATCTGTCTGACTGACTGCAGACAGGCCCAGAAATTAATCAGATTGCCAATCAATCAGATGTGGCCTCTCCATGGGGCAGACTGTTCCCACCTGGGGTGAAACTGAGTCCAACTTCCCTCACCTTTCATGTTATTCAGAGTTCAATCCCTTCAGAGACTGTGCGCTTCTGTTTTCCGTTCTGTAGCTGATCCTAATGCAAGTCACCCCCTGACCCACTCAGAAGGCTGCTGGGGAGCCGAGTGGTCATGCTGAGCCGCAGGAGGACCTGACAAGCAGCAGGCAGTGCCACCTCCCACGCACGGCATTCAGGAAGCTGCTCTGAACCCTGGGCATTGGCAGTGGCTGACCAAGGCGGTGTGTTAAAAATCCAAAGCCACATGTTAGTCAAGGCCTGATTTTTATGTGAGAAGGGTAGAAAGCCAAAGTTTGGGAGCACATCACTGAAGGGGGGGTTGGGATGTCTGAGTTCCAGCCCCCAGCACCCAGTTTCCCTGCTGCGCGTCCTCTGTAGGTGATGGGGCTCAGTGCCACGGACCACACTCCTGAAGCACATGCGGTGGACTCCTCTGAGACAGGTGCACCATGCCTTCTTAGGGCCCCCTGGCCATCACAAGGACAACTTCCTGTGGCTTCTCTGACATGTCTGGGCTCTTCTGTGCAGTTGGCTTCTGCCTGGGATTTATCATTCTTGATTCCAGCATCTAGCCAATCAGGGCAATCCCCACCCTGCAGGACATCAGCAGTACTTCAGCATCCCCATCCTCTTTCTATGACTATCCTAGAACACCAGGGCAGCCCCTTCTTCTCAGACACCCCTGCAGCTGACTCCAGCCTAGGCTTCCTATGCTGGGAACCTGCCACTCAGGGCTTCTGCCCACTCCTCTCATCCATTCATTTAGCTCCCCCCCCCCCCCCCCGCAAGAGAGTTCCCATAAATGGAGGCAGGAGGGCCACTTGACCTCAAGAGTTCCAGACCAGCTGGGGCAACACAGTAAGACCCTATCTCTAAAAAAAGTAGAAAAATTAGCTGGGTATTGTGGTGGGGACCTGTAGTCCTGCTACTCAGGAGGCTGAGGCAGGAAAATCCTTTAGCCCAGGCTCGGCGCCTATAGCTCAACCAGCTAAGGCGCCAGCCACATACACCTAAGGTGGCGGGTTCGAATCCCCAGCCCGGGCCCGCCAAGCAACA